GATCTTCACACATCAGGGGAGAGGAAAACAAATCACCCATAAATTCTGACCCTACTTGGTTTAAGCAGAAGTTTATCACTCCATCAAGTTGAATCCTGAAGTAGATTCTGTTTTGTGGAGAAATATCCATGGAATCTGTCTTGTAGTTGACACGGTTTGAACATTTACAGCTGGAAGCTGACATGTGGCTCAATGCTGACTAACCAGCAGGTTTTATAAGGCCCTTGTACGTGATAAACGACCAATTACATTTTCACACGAGTGAGTAGACGTCTGTACTCTATCCACTGTGATCACGCTTGGAGTATTTTCTCAGCCAAACTACAAATTTTGCAGCACTTGGCAAGTCTTTGAAAGCAAGAATTGAGTAGTGGGATTAGTGCAGATCAGTCAGGGCTTGGATTCATGTGTTGAACTGATACAGGGTATGTTTTTCCTTACATTGTGGTGACGTGCTGTTTGAGATTGGATGCTGGGATGACAAATCTAGAGTAAGTGAACCTACTTTGTTAAGTACATGATTTTATTTCCTGTACAACAATGTATGTTGTTGGCTAAGATTTAACCAAATGTAAGGCGAAGGGGGCTGTCAATGCCTGCTATGGATGCTCAAAGACTTGTTACTGCTCGTGTTGTAGATAAAGCTGTCCTGGCCTGAGCACATCTTAGTCTTTGTTTTCAGCATAGCTATTTAAGTCTGCATCCATGTCAGTTTGAACTTTTAAAATTCTGACCATTTTGGTTAAGTCTATGTATACAGTGCCTTCATTCTGTCTCCATGTTTGGTGGCACGGAAACCATCTGAAAGTTTGCTGTAAACTTGCTGGACGTTCCAGAAGAGACTGAGTCGCCCGAAAGCCCTGGGTCGACTGTATCAGAAACCAGCCCTCGGGCAAGAAGGACATTGACATTTTATAGGGTCAGAGGCCATGGGTTATACACCCACTAGGCCTGACCCAGATGAAAGCCACCCAGTATAGTTAGCTCCTCCATCCATTGTAACCTTCTGTCTGCCTACCATTGTACTGTGATTATGATCCCAGCTTATGGTAATGCTGGACAGGTCTGATTCCAAAATGAAAACTGTCTGGGTAGACCATGAATTTTATTTTACCAATTTGGTCAGTCACTGAATATATTCACAAAAAGCTGCCAATTTACTTTTATTGAAAGAACCTCAAAGTTTTTATAATGCACAAGAATGGAATAAAATAATTATAGTATATGAAAACACAATTTGGAAGGATGCAATCCTTTTTACATAAGGGAACCCCAGTGAAGTGTTACTTTTCGCTTCACTCTGATTCCTTACTCAACTAACAAGATCACATTGTTTCCTTTCAATTCACTGAACTTCTGCACCTTTTGCTGATATGATTCTCTCTGGTACTGTCTCTCCTCAAGTCACGTAGACACTGACTCGCTGTGCTCTGAGGGGGAAAACAACTGAGGATTTATTTATTTATTTTTTTTTTTTTTTTTTTTTTTTTTTTTAGCCCTTTGTACTTGTGCTGCTGAAACAGCTTCAGACCTACACTCCCTGGCAGCCATACAGCCACTCCAAGTATCTGTAGACACCAAATGATTGCTTACACTTTGATGTCTGGTTTTGTGAATTGCTGCTGTGCCTGGACCTCGCACTTAGTGGGAGAAAAATCTTACAGGCTCTATGGTTTAAGACTTCTTTCTGATTCTGATTGCCTGGAAACTGCCGAAACTAACCTGTCCTTCGGCTGGTATCGATATCGATAACGTGACCTGCTTGAGGCTGCTCTGCATCTATCTCTCTGTGGGTCATAAATCTTAAATTAGTAAGCATGCCAGTAATTTCTCACCAAGTAGTTTGTATAGTCCTTTAGCCTTACTACTTTTTTTAAAAAAAACTTTCTGACCATTTTAACACAAATATTTCGCTGAACTGAAACTCAAATTTCTATATCTTAGAACCCAAGATCCCAAATTATAAATTATTATAAACCCTCATTAAACTTGAAAGATTTTTTGTGTTTTCAGTTCCACCTAGAGGTCACCTCAGATCTCGAACTCTGTAGTTTGTTATTTCCCAGTTTCTACTTATTCAATTTGAACTACAGACATGGTTTATCTTTAAATTGTTCTCAAGATTTCTCTTTTTCTGTTTCACCTACTATCTGTAAACCACGTGGGGCCTCTCTTCCTTTATCTATGTTCATGATTGGATTCTCCTATGTGCTCCTAACCTTTCTTCATATCTCTGTTCTCCACATCAAGGACTCAGTCTTGTCGTTCTTCTGTTCTGGGGATTGGATGAGATGAATGTCCCCACAAGGCTGATCGTGCCACTGGAGTTATTTCTGAACCGATCAGTGCTCAGCTTCAGTATGATGGCCTCAAACTGCAAATACAGTTTACAAAATAGGAAGTCACGCCAGACGAGTGCGTGCAAATTTCTGCAAGAATACACTGCCGGAGCAGTTTGTTCGTAAAGTGATTATCTTGCAGTTCATAGACTTTGCTTTATAGTCAACATGCAGTTTGTTTTCAGTACTGCATATGGTCAGTACTGAGTCCATCACTCCTTAAATTCTTTCACTTCCCTTTCCACTGTTTTGATGCGATTTACTGTATTAACCTCTTCCTTCACTTTTATCTCCAGTGAGCAACACAATGCATTTGTCATTGTGTGCTGCATCGGTCATATTCCTATTCAATTGCAACTTATTCTCTCTCACTTCCTTGCCTGCTTAGTTTTTTTTTCCCCATCCTTTGCTAATTGCAACTCATTTCAATGGACAAAGCATGCAAAGTCCTGTACTCTGCCATGTTTTCTCCAACTCCCTGTGTCCCATTTGCTTTCAAATTCATATTTTGGAGATATTTACCTGTTCTGAATCCTCTCATGGGTCTCAGCCATTCTAATACCTGACTTCTTTTGTTGTAACGTTGTTGACAATTTGTTCAGCTTCTGCCTTCAGGAACTGCCTATCTAGTTGCTTCCTGCTGTCAGGAATCTCCTTTGAATTGAGGTTGTTGACTTGCTCGCCAAGCTGGCTTGTTTTCGTTCAGACATTTTGTCACCGTGCTAGGTGACATCATCAGTGAGACTTCGGCTGAAGCGATGTTGTTCTACCCCGCTTGGAATTTATGCTGTCTGGTCTGTTACAGTGAGTTGTCATTTTTGGTTCTGTTCTGTATGGGTTTTTATATAGGGTCCAACCCTATACGTCTGACTGAAAACAAGCCAGCTCGGTGAGCAAGCCAACAACCTCGCCCACAACCCAAGCTACAAATCATTGCTGAAACCTTAAATCTCTTTGAATTCTTTTGTTTGTGCTTGACATGATGATGCTGTCTGCTTTTCGTTCTTTTCGTTCTTTTCGTTCTTTTCGTTCTTTTCGTTCT